GCGAAAAAGGGAGAAAGAGGCGGCCCAAGCGGCCGTGGAAGCTGCCTCTGTGAAAGTGGGTGTGCGACAAAGGGAGAAACAACAACAGGAACTTCGTGCCGCGCTCCTGGCGCAACAAGAGGCGGAAGCGACGGTCCAGCTGAAAACTTTGGAACTTCAGTTGGCAGATGCGATCGGCGAGTCCGAATCAGTCGCTACCGAAGGAGGCGTGGCTGCGGAGTCTCCTCGTGCAGCTGCCGAGTCTCCTGGTGCAGCGGTTCCCGAAGGGAGCATTATTACTTTGTCGCCACCCTCGATGACGCCGATGACTCCCCCTTCTGTTGCTGCTCCTGCCGCCCACGGCGCCTACTACGCCCATGCCGCCCACGGCGCCTACTACGCCTATGCAGCCCGCGGTGCCTACTACGACCACTTCAGATCGTGCCCCGACGTTGCCCCCGAAGGTCAAACGAAAGGCGACCGCCATCAAACCTTCGAAGAAGGAGGACAGGCCTCGCCCAACGAAGCGTCCCAGGTCACCGTCGATCTGATGGTCGTGCGGTTGTGCCCTAAGGGACCTGTGGAGGTTTTGGCTTTAAAGCCCCGAGATCTTCATCTTCTCTTGGAAAAGTGTGCGAGTGCCGTGCGTTAGCGGTAGGTAACCTAGAGTGCAGCGCCGAAGCGGTAGGTAGTCTAGAGCGCAGTGCCGTAGGTGAAGGTAACCTAGAGTGTTTTGCGGTAGGTGCGTGGTGCTTGCGTTTCCCCGAAGCTACGCCCTACCCGAATGGATCCACAAAGTGCCCCGCTCTGCCCAGGTGTTTCTCGAGAAGATGGTGTGACGCAGCCTTGTTCGGGGTTATTTCGAAGGTTGTGGGTTTCCGTCTTTGCGTGCTTTTGGCAGTCTGTTTGGCAGCCTTGGTAGTGCGTCGAAGCGGGGGACTTAGAAAGCTTTGGACTAGAAGCCGGAGGAAGCCAGTGTGGGTGCGAGTGACCTTGAAAGGTAGGAATCCTCGTCGTTGTTTGCCATGGAAAAGAAAACGGCCAATATGCCAGTCCGGGGCTAACCGGGTCCTTTCCATTATGGAACCGGGTCCTAGGACTTAGTGTGTTCTTGTCCTAGGACTTATGATGTTGATGTGACATGGAATGTAGCAAGACATGTGTTCTTGTGGCTCAATGGAAGACATGCTGGACATGTGAAAACTTGTGTTCTTGCGGCTCAATGGAAAACAAGACCTGAAAACTTGGTCTCTTCCAAATGGAGATGCATACCTGAAAAACTGTGTTCTTGTCGCTCTATATGGAAGAAGCGAGATGCTGGACATGTATAAAAAGATGTGTGCTTGTGGCTCGATAGAAAAATCAATGCCTGAAACTTGGTTTGATCGAAATGTGAAACATATAAATCGAAAAATCAAAGCCCTACTGATATAATTGCCTGTCCCAAGTTTTGTAGTTCACATGGAAATTAAAGTTGCCAAAAAAATGAAAATACGTTTATGCCGAACAAACCAAACAAATGTAACTTGGTGTTCTTGTGGCTCAACGGAAACAAAAAGCTTGAGATTTTGTGTTCTGAAATCCTAAAGTCAGCTGTTTGTACGATTCAGAACAACTTGAAAATTAGCATGTTCATGATTAAACATGAAGGGAATCTGAACTTTCGTAACGTCCAGCCCATGCCCTAAACCCTGAACCCTAAACTCTAAACCCACCCAACCCCCAAACCCGCCCACCCATTCAAGCCCAGAAGCTGCAGGTAGGAAGGGGCACACAGGTAGGTAGAGAGGTATAGTTAGGTAGGCAAGTAGGTATGGATAAGTAGATAGGCAGGAGGGAAGGTACTTGTAGGTGTAGGTGCGTCGGCAGGCTTCCAGGTCGGTAGGTAGGTAGATAGATAGCTAGGTAGGCGGGCATGTAGGTAAGGAGGAATTATGAGGAAAGAGGTTTAAAACCCCTAAACCCCTAACCCCTAAACCCTGAACCCTAAATCCAAAACCCGAAACCCTAAACTAACCTTCAACCCTAAAAGGTAGCAGGCAAAAGTAGTTGTAGGCATTCGTGCAGGCCCTGTCAGGATGTCAGGTGGCCACATCAAGGTCTTCGGAGCCCCGTACAGGGGCGTACCCGCGCCAAGGCCTGAATGGGCCGCGGGATGAACCCCGAATAGGGGTGAGCTTGGACCCCGAAGAGGGGTCGTCGGAGCCCCGTACAGGGGCGTACCCGCACCAAGGCCGAAAGGGCTGCGGGATGAACCCCGAAAAGGGGTGAGCCTGGACCCCGAACAGGGGTCGTGAGAACCCCGTGCAGGGGTGTGGATGAACCCCGAACAGGGGTGAGCTTGGACCCCGAACAGGGGTCGTTAGAGCCCCGCACAGGGGCGTACCGATGAACCCCGAAAAGGGGTGAGCCTGGACCCCGAACAGGGGTCGTGAGAACCCCATGCAGGGGTGTGGATGAACCCCGAACAGGGGTGAGGATGAACCCCGAGCAGGGGTGAGCCGGACCCTCAAAGACAGATGCAGAGAGCGAGAGAGAGAGAGACACAGCGAAAATAATTAACGAAGCAAGGAAGGAAGCAAGGAAGGAAGGAAGCAGGGAAGGAAGAAGGAATGATCAAGATGAGGGTGTGACTGTAGATGCGAGGAATGAGCAGGCAGCAAGGAGTGATGTGAGGGAGGCGGGAAGGGAAGGAAGAGAAGGAAAGTCATGCATGGCATCAGTATCCCTCTGCTCACTTTCAGTCTGTCGGCGGCCAGGCTGAGACAGTCTGCGCATCGAGATCCTCGAAGAGCCCCGGCCTAAGCCACACGGCCTTCCAAGACTTGACGGCTGCACCATGGGTTGCTTCCAAGCTCAACATGTTGAACTGCAGCAGCTGTTCAGCTCAAGATTCAACGCGATCGAACCGTTTTTGTCTGAGCGAGTGTACTCCGACTGAGGCGATTGTCCTCATGCAAACAAGGCAGTATTATTGACATGCGCATAAACGCAGATCGTCAAAGACACGACTAGGAAAGAAGTGCCCCAGTTCGACGTACTGCCACGGAAGTGCAGCAATGTATCGAACGGATTTTGGCAGGCTTCATGGACCTGAAGGAAGTGACGATGACGATCGAACGACTCCTTATCATTCGGATGATAGCGATGGTTCCGCGGCCGATGCCACTACGGAAATGGAAAGAAACATGTTTACGAGAGAAGAATTCCAGCGAATCTGCACCGACCTGGTGCTGGGATGTGTCATGATGAACTTGTCAATGGGATGGCAAATGGAGCGGGCTTTGTTGAGCGATCGGCAACTACGAAGTTTGCTACAGCACTTCCAAACCAAGCACAACAGACGCGGATCCTCTGCAGGTGATATTGTGGAAGCAGGTTTACAGGAACGGATTCCAACAATGCAGAAAGTACGCATGGTTCGACAATGCGACGTCCTCCAAGGAAAGTTGCGAATGGAAGTGAACCCGGTAGATGCAGAGAGATTGCGGGGCTTGGTTGAGCAGCCTCCCGGCTGGGATTGGGATTTGCCTGATCGAGGAACCATGGAAAGGCTTTGCGAGGGCATTCTGGCCAACTCGTTTGAGTTTGAACGGATTCCAGTGACGGACGCTAGACGGATGGCAGTTCAATACTGCGAGGTCATCCGTCCACTGTTCGCTGAGACTCCTGTCAATGGCGTTGCTGGGCATGCGGGACACGTACAGAGATCAGCTTTGGTTTCTGCTTCGCAGGCATGGAAGAGTCCTCAACGTATAGACGGACTGTACGTATACGCAGTCTCCGAAAAACTTAAAGGGACTGATGTACGGATACACAGTCTCACAATAAACCAGCAATGGCGAGAAAAAACGTGTCACTTGCTTAACAAATTGCTTGACGCGCCTTACTAAATTGCTGGACCTAAACCCTGAACTCGTCGACCTGAGGTCAAGCCTTCTTCATGCCAAATTCGCTGGCAAGATCGACATTGTGTTTGGAGGCTCGTCCGGCTGCTCATGTTTGCATAAACCCTAAACCCTAAACATCCGGCCGGTCCCACTACAAGATTGCGCGCCCGGCACGCGTACGCCTGTGCGCCCGGAGCGCGTTCGCCTGAACTCCCGGCGCGCAGACCTGTGCACGTTGCAAACAGACTAAAGAATTGTATTATCACGTCCGGCACGCCCGGCGTGCACCCGCTGCGCGCCCGGCGCGCGCCCGCTGCACACCCGGCGCGCGCACCCTGGGTATATTTGGTTTTGGGTGGTAATAAACGACCGCCACATGTCATTCCTGCGCGCCCGTCGCAACCCGCTGCGCGCACATGTGTAAATTCTGTTGCAAGAATAATATTATGGAATAGTGTAAATATAGTATAGTACACGCTTACACTTCGCGCGTACGCCTGTACGTGCGGCACGCGCCCGCCCGCGCGCCCAGCGCGCGCGCCCGGCGCGCACCGTTGCAAGCAGAATATTATGGAATGGTGCAAATACTTGAAGGGGCGGGGTGTTTAGTAATCGAATACATGGTTTAGGAGATTTAGACAATCAGGTTAAGTTGAGTTACAAGTTCGTTAACATGAGTTATAAGTGCTGTATATATACTATGTTGTATGGACAACTTAGCAAGTCCGAGGCTTGAATTAAGAAGTGGAGCAAGCAGTTGAGTCACTTAGCCAAAAGCAGGGTGGAACTTATAAGTAAGATAGAACAAGTCTTTTAAGCAACTTGCCAAACTTAGATAACTTTGTGTAACTGATTTAGGTAAGTGGTGTAAGTTGTTTATTTGAAGTTGTTTTCCTGGCATTTGCAAAGCTTGAAACGGAAGCTTGCATGGAGATCTCCTGCCGCATGTATTCAGGATGCAATTGAAAATTGCATGGAAAGCTGCTGCATTGCATGTGTTGAGGACATGCTCGCATGCTTGCCTTCTGTGTATTGTGCATGACTCCATGCATTGCAGCCATCTATCGCCATTGCAGGGCCCTTGGCTCGCAGGCAGATTTTCAGCTCCGTCCTCCATCTCGCTTGCCCATCATGCCTTTGCAGTCGGATGTGCGAGAGCGGCTGCAGGCTTTCCTTCGAGAAGCCTCGGATGGCGACGGCCTTGTCCGAATCGTGGAGAACTGCTTGAACTACTTGAAGTCCAAGCATCTCTTGACCTCCATGCAGTTGGAGGCGAGCCTTGTGGGGATCCATCCCTGCAACCGGGATGGGTACGGAGTGAATCCACAAGACGTTCGTGATCTTGTGGACTCGATTGTCGATGGGGGCTATGTCCCCACACGTGTGCATGCGGTCGGTGTCGAAGTCGAAGGAGACTGGGTCCGGCAGTGGAACAAGAAGCTGTTCGAGTCAGCCCACGGTCTTCTCGGAAGCCTTGAGCCGGAAGCGATCAAGATCACTTCGATCTGCGGATCACATACCAATTGCGCTTTGCGACTTTTTCAACAAGGTGCAAGCCACGGCAACGAGGTCGTGAGTGTGGGTGGAAAGCTCAGCATGGAGCTTCTTCGTGCTCGGGATGCTTCGTTCCACGAAGCAGCTGATCAAGGCCTGACGTGGGACGTGATCTCCTCCTCCGTGGCGGAAGAGTTCCCAGAGCTGATAAGCTTGATATCCCGGTCAGGCAACACATCGCTTCAACGAGGAGAACATGAGCTACAAGTACTCCGTCGCATCCATTCCACGTACTACCGCTTGCAGACTCAGACTGGCCAAGCACCGGCTTTTGCATCTCTGAAGAAGTTGATATTGGCCAGCAAACCAAGCTGCCATGCCTCCGTACCCCACATGTTTACGTTTTGTCTGAAGGCTTCCGGGGGTGCCGATGCGAGCTTCCTTCAGGAGACGGAGTCCTTTGTGCGGGCTTACTGCCCTTCTTCTCGGCAATTGGGGCCTGTCCTGTGGGAGGCTTTCGGGCAAGATTGCCGAGGGCACCAGTCAGATCCCGTTGCAGCATTTCGCCATGCACTCATGAAGCAGGCATACTTGAGGCAGAATGTGACCATTGCTGATGTGAAGAAGATGACTTCTAAAGAACTCTTCCCCAAGGTCAAGGAAGCTGACAACATGATCCTCACGGTCAGGGGCATCTTAAGGGATGGAGCTCGCGATTTCATGACGGATTCGCGGGTCGTGCAAGCTCTGGCCACTATGGATATGACGATAGCATCGCACGTCCTCGGCATCAAGGTGCCGGACGAGAAAAAGTACAAAACAGTCCAAGCGATTGTCACGATTTTTTGCTCGTGGCAAGAAACCTGACCGGTGTTGCACTCCCTTTGCCATGGGAGTCGGTGTCTGAGCAAAGTGAACCAGCTGCAACTGCAGCGACTGCTTCCCAGCCTTATGCTGCAGGTGTGATGCTTGAGCTTGCTGAAGACGGCAGTATCAAGGAACCTGAGAAGATATTGGCCTCCAAGGGTTTCGCTATGGGTGCACACATCCGTCGCAAGGTTGACAAAAGCGAGGGAGTTCTTTCAGAAGTGAAAGGTCAGATGGTCTTTGTGAAGATGGCTTCGGGAAAGACGGCCAAGGTGGATCTCAATGTTATCCTGGCTGGAGATTGGGTCGCGTTTGTTCCTCGTGTGCAGCCCACAATGCTAGACAGCTTGGACCAGTACCAGCACCATGTGGATTTTGATGCCAGCATTCTTGCATCGAAGATTCAGCTTGAGCTCTACAAGCTTCACCAGTCCATGGAGTGTGGATCGGAGCACCTGAAATTGCAGCTGAAGCCTTCGAGGGTGTTGCTTGCCAACTCGGACATCAAGAAACTCTGCATGGTGCCCATGACCAACAAGGTCGTGCAGAAATCCCAGGGCCAAGGCAACACCATGTTTGAGGTGCAGACGGACTGGCAAGGAGACGACCGCAAGTTTTGGCTTTCCGGAGCCAACATTCTACCCAAAGATAACGACGACGACACTTGCAAACATGTGGTAGTTCCCTTTTGGTTGGTGCAGCACAGCCATCAGGAAGAGGATTGCAATGTGAAGCTTGTTTGGATTGCGGGAACAGAGAAGAGCATCAAGATTCCGGTTTTTAAGAACACCAAGAAGATCCCGGAAGGCAGCCCCATTGTGGCTTTCAGATCTAAAACGGTGCAGGTGGCTCCCTTGGAGGAAGTGGAGGACGACCACAAGACTTTGGCGCAGAAAAGAGCATCGGCGAGCTCAGGTGGCTCCAGCAAGAAGGCTCAGAAGAAGTGATGTTTCGGCATCCGTATGCAGTCCAGTGTGCTGCTATACCAGCAGCAGCCATTGCTTGAGCTTGCAGTATCTGAAAGATTCCATTGTATGTATATGTGAGGTCTGTTTCTAATGCATTGCGGAGAAGGATATGTACAATTGTTGCAGGTTGCAAGCATCCGAGGGGCATGGTGTTTATAGAGCGACCATTCATAGAGTGTTCTGTGCAGCTGCATGGTGCGAGGATCCCTCAGGTGTGCGAGCTTGTGCTTTGCGGATGGAAATGCAGTGCAGCTTTATATGCTTCTGTATGCAAGTGCAGGATGCATCGCCCGTGATGAAGTGCAGGTGCATTGTTGAAGTTGCTGCTTGCATGGATGTGTTGTTTTCGCCTAGGCAGGGCATGTGTGCTCGCCGGCAGAAAACAGCTCCAGCCTCGCATCAAACCATTTCCCCCGTGCATCGCATCATCATGGCTTGCTTCGAGATTGTGACGAAACAGGTTGTCGTGCTGGGTGACCGAAGCTGGATGCCAACCCAAAAGAGTGTCGACGACCGGGTCTTCTGTGCTGTCTCGAAATGGTCCCCGCAGCTTGTCAAAATGATCACAGGCAAACGACTGGACTTGCGGTCCGGCCAAGGGGAATCATCGGGGTCGCTGAACATAAAGCTCTTTGACGATTTGATCGAGAAGAGGCAGGCTGCTTGCGACAAGCTGCTGGAAGAGGCCCTGAGGGACGATGAAGGCGACGACGAGCCCAAGAAGAAGAAAAGCAAGAAGGATAAGGTGAAGGCTTTGGCCAAGCATTTGCACCTGTTGCCGGCGATCGTCGACATTACGATCGATGGCTTTCAGCTGTCGATCCTCAGCGAGGGCCTGTCTACCGGGAGCATCTTCGTGGAGATGCTCTCCGAAAATTTCAATTGGCTCATGGAGCAGGCGAATCGACAAATGCCTGTCGATCGGAAGAAAAGAAGGCACAGCTCCCGGGACAAGACCGATGCCAGCGAGGATTCCGACAAGGAGGCCAAGGTTCCAGCGGCGAAAGCCAAGGGCAAGGCCAAGGCAAAAGCTAAGAGCCCGGCCCTGAAGAGCATCCTGAATGGCTCCCCGGCCAAGAACCCGGCCCCGAAGGGCATCGTTGGCTCCCCGGCGAAGGCCAAGAAGTGATTCTGCATGCAGTCTCGCATGTATCTTCCGTGCATCCATGCAATGTGTATATACTTGATGTATAGTATGTATCAACACACCGTGAAAAAAAATATATATATATATATACATATGTATATATTACTGTCAATGATGCAAACTCACAACGGATCCACACTTTGATTGCCCGATGCTGTCTTTGGACAGACGACATCGACCGAAGCTCTCTGAACATTGGTGTCGTGTTTCTGCATGCACATTTGCCCTTGTTGCAGTGGGTGCCACGTCTGCGCCATGCTTGCTTTTCAGCTCTTTTGGCTTGTGAAGCTGCCGTGGTTTTTGGGAGTGATGATGTCCTTTAGCTTCTTGTCGCGAAGCCTTCCCTCCGCTGTGGAGGTGGGGCCCCTGTACAACCACATGCACACACATGCCACCGCCCCAAAAATAACAGGCCGATGTGGTGGAGCGGCTGCAGCTCCACACGGACTTCTCGAAGTCCGGGAGGGGGAAATACAAGAATGATGAAGGCCGGTGCCCCCATGCAAGTGATATGGATATATAGCCTTTCATTTGGTTGCAATTGTTTTGCAGGCACCACGATTTCCTGGTCGGCCAAGATGGGGTGGAAGATCTTGTCTGTTGGAGGCTGCAGTTATATATAGTGTCTGCATGGAATCAAGTGAATTGGCTCGTGCACTCGTGCAGGTGACATGTACTTCAAGCACCCAGACGTGCAGGCCATGAACGTGCCTGCCAGCCCTGGTCCTAGGTGTTTTCTTAATTTGGGTAGAAGAAAACCGTTGTCGCCTAAGGCGGGTGGCTCTACTGGAACGACGATGTGGGAGATTTTAAAGCTTCTGTGATATGCCTGGAAGGCCGGGTATTTGAAGCTCAAGGAGTCCATATGTATATATCCATGTAGTTGCAGCATGCAAGCCACGAGGAGTCGGACACCGTGGAGGTGGACGTCGAGGATCCAGCGGCCGAGCCCAGCATGCCCGACATGTCATTGCAACTGCTTTTGCATGCTGCTCCATCGTACATATCTAGTGTGCCTGCTCGCCAGTTGTGCTGAAGCCGGCGAACAGCAAGAAGCAGCGCCCAGCGGAGCCGAAGGCGGAATTTCTTCGTAAGGCGATATAATGTACTTCTGGTTTGATTGCAGGAGCCGCCTCCGAAGAGGTACATGGACCCCGTGCCAAAGACCAAGGACAGCAAGCATATAGCTGTTCACTGTGTATATAATGCATGCTGCATCTGTGGCAGGCTTTGCCCTCGAACTGGGACGAAGGACTTCTTGTGGTTGTCTGGAGCCAGGCTTCTTTGCAAGTGTTTGTTGTCTGGATTGAGGAGATCTGATGCCGGACACGAAGGGCAAAGGGCACTACGTGAAGCCCAAGGCTTTTTCTTTGGGTCTGGCATGCACGACTGCACTTGTCTCTATACTGATGCAGTCTTCTTGGGCAGGTCGCTTTCATCGACGAGCACGGGCAGGCTTGCCTTGGTCTTTGTGATGGTGCTTCAGGTTTGCCTCTGCTTGCTGCTGGCCCCGTTGCAGGAGTGGGCGGCGGGCATGGGGAGAAAGAGGGCCCGGACACGTGGTGGCCAAGGTGTCCGGGCACTCCAGGCCCAAGGGGCCTTGGAGGAGTCCCGAAGCCACATGGAGGACCCTTGCTGCTTGCCAATCCACGAGAACAGCAAAGCTGAAGACACCGCGAGCCCCGACATGCAGGACTTGCGGGCCTCCCTCCACACCATGGGGGTCATGGCCGAGACGATGAACCTGCAAGAGAAGCGAGTCCGTTGAGGCCTGTGCTGTGACCGAGGAGCCTTTCTGTCCTGATGGTGTTGAAACTTATAATGCCTGGCAGGATCCCATGGTTCCTGCCTGGCACCCCTGGTTTGTGGCCTGGAGACCAGGGGAGCCGCTAATAGTTGGAAGCTCAGACCGCCTGTGTTGCTCTATATACGGCCTTGCTTGCTTGGATCCCAAGGTCCTGCATGCTGTGAGCAGCGAAGGACCTGAAATTGGGGGCATTTTCCGGCTCGCCGCTTCGGGCACAGAGGGTCAGGGCTACCAGTCCCGATGGCCGGGGTTTATGCATGCATAAAGCCCCTTAAGCAAAATAGACCGGAACTTTATGCATGCATATGGCTGGGTTCAGTTTCCTAGGGCGGGGCTTATGCATGCATAAACCTCGGCAGGGCCAAGGGCACAAACCTTTATGCATACATAAAGGTTTCGGGTTTTGGGGGTCAGGCCCCTTATGCATGCATAAAGGGTTGCTTTCCCAGTGCCCTCGTGGTTCCCTGTCCTCTGGCCTCTCTAGGCAATAAGTAGGAAAACTATATAGGTAAGAAATAGCTTTGGGCTGCAGAAGACGAATCGGCGAGGGGGCTATCTCCCCCTGTATAGCCGAGGCTTCGGTCGGGCTACCGGGGCCTCGTCCTGTGACTGTTTCACGACCACAGACCATATGGGCCAGTTTGAAGAAAAACCGCCCATCCTCCGAGTGTGCACCGTTTGGTCAGGCCCATGAGGCACACAGACCCCCATGGCAACATGTGTGTGTGTGTGTTTGTGTCTGCGACAAAGAGCAACAAACGAGGAGAGGGAGAGAGGGAGACAGAGACAGAGACAGAGAACGAGTGAGCGAGGGAAGGTACAAGGGGGTTGGTGGGAGGGGGGGTTGGCTGTGAAGGAAGAGACTGCTACATAGCAAAGTGGCTGCATGGATTTCACTGAAGTACATATACATACACAGTTTTACACACTCTGCATATATACCTATTACATGTGAGATGTGTATCTACCCCACACACACACATACATATATATATATATATATATATATGTATATATATACACGATATGTATATATATATATATATACATATACAGATACCAAAACATATCGTTCATATATTCTTATATACACATATATATATATATATACATACATATATGTGTATATATATTTATGTGTATATGAAATGGACTGAATCTCTGAACTTACATACACATATATTACACACTTGCATGCCTGCAGGTGTCGGTATACTGTAGTAACATGGCTGTGCTCTTGAGGGTGTCTACGGGTTCTGCTGGCGAGCTCAGAGCCCTGCCTGCGAAACCGAGACCCCTTTGGTGAAGTCTTCCGGTCTGTGACTGCATGCAATGTGAAAGACGTCTCCAGTGGCAGGCTACATGCTTGTGTGTTGCAAAGCACATGCACTCCATCATCTGCCTGCTGCCCGCTGCTGCTCTATATAGACAGGTGTTCGCAAGCAGGGCTACAGCAGCTCGCTTTGTGCAGAGCATCTGTGCTATATCCGGCCGTGCAATGGCAGCTGCTTTCCTTCGACAGCTGAACCAGCTCCTCCCGACCCAGCAGCCCATCATGGGAGATCAATGGACTTCTCTCTTGGCTGCTCAGAGCGAGGTCGCCATCAGAACGATTCGTCAAAGCCACATCACAGTCGAGGAGGGTGCAGAGATCTGCAGCTTGGTGCAGCAGGGCCTTTGGTCACACGAGCAGAAGCAGGCCCTGGGTGCAGCCGTCTCCCAGACCTTGGCAGGCAGCACTCCAGCAAATGCCAAGGCCAAGAAGAAGAACCAGGAAATTCTCAACTTCTGGGGTTTCTTGGGCGCCGAGGACCGGAGAGTTTTGTCCAGCGACGACACCCTCGTCATGAGGCTGACTCACACTGCTCAGATAATGGCTCGACTGGAGATGTTCTGGCCATCAGAACAGTCTGTGGGACACATCATCAAGACCCTGCAGAGTTGCAACAATACTGGCTTGCAGAGCCCCGACGAGTTCCATTCGGCTGTCGTGTGCCTCAAGAAGAAGGTGAAGACCATGCTCAAAGATGCTTCCTGTGGCGAGGTCGTCGCCAAGTACACTCGGCCTGAGGATCTTCCACCACACACCCGAGATCGCTTCGCAGATGCCTTGGGAGGTGAGCTGCCTGGAACAATGGTGCTGGCCCGTGATGCTCTTAGTGGCAGTAACAAAAGCCTCTCTTTCCACAAGAGCAACACTGCCATGGTGCTGGGTGGTCCAGCAGCAGGCCCGGCAATGCACATGCCCCACACCATGCAGGGTATGATGCAGTTCTGGGGCAGCATGGCAGCTAACATGTTCAAACAGCAGCAGCAATTGGCGAAGAAGAACGATGGATTGCCTGGGTTGAAAATCTTCGGCGACCCAGCTGCTGCCGCCTCGTCTGGGACGATGGCCTCCTCGCCTGCTCAACAGCAGGCCTTGCAGCTTCCTACAGTTACCAATGAACCGGCACAGGGCAGCGGAACAAAGCAGGCCGAGCAACAGGGAGTGCTGGCCAGCAAGGATCCTGTCAGTGCTGCACAACATGCAGATGAAATGCTTCAAGCTTGGAAGGGCGACAACAAAGGGTTCGACAGCACCGTCGAGGCCGAGGCCAAGGAAAACGAGGCGAAGCACAAGGCAAATAAGAAGCCCAAGGCTGCAGCAAAGGCCAAGGGTAAAGCCAAGGCCAAGGCTAAGGCGAAGGCCAAGTGCACGGCCATGAAGTCCCAGCCCAAAGCAAAGTCGCAGCCCAAGGCGAAGGCCAAGGCTGCTTGCAAGGCGAAGGCGAAGTCGCAGCCGAAGAAGGTCCAGAAGGCTTTGAAGAAGTTCACTCGAGAAGAGGTCCGATGCATGACTTTGTCGGCTCGCATCAAGCTGCGACCCAATGGGTGTGGCAAGTGCCGGAACAGGCCCGGCTGCACACCGTCGTGCTTTGGCCCGTGATTGCATCAACAGCTGCTGAAAGCATGCACAGCTGGAGTCCTATATAGGGTGAGAGTTTGGAGGCTACAGGCAGAGTGTATACATCTTAAGTCTATATGCATGTTGACGTGTTTTGGTGTCTTCCAGCATCAGCAAAGTTTTGTTCGCGAGCCTCCAGGAAGCATGCACCTTATTATTCATCTTTCACAAAGGCTGTGTGTACATTAAAGCCATTGTACCTCGGGAGGTATAATGTTGGGAGCATCGCTTGCCACGGAGGGAAAGACCGAAGCGATCCTGGCAGGTGTCAAAAGCGGTGGTGCAGGATGCCTGCACGATCCGGGTTTTTGTTTCGTGGCATATTATATATGTGTTATATACATATATATATAGATATACTTTGCATATGGGATGTATATATATATATATATAGGAGCCTATATATACTTTATATATATATATATATATATGGGTTGAATATATATTGATATATATATATATATATATATATATACACACACATATATTATACAGGGGTGTCCTTTTAGGAGGGTGCGAATGTGGACCCTTCTTCGAGAGATATGTTGAAGCTTTCGAGTTGTACATGTATATATTATATATGGCTTTGCGATTTATTAAGATGTGTCTCAGGATCACGTTTGGTGTTAGGTTAGGTTTGGTGTGGTATATACTATATATATATATAACTGTATATACATGTATATATATGTGTACAAATCAATACTCGGATGCTATATATCTATAGCTTTCGGGTTTCTGTGTATACATATATATATATATCAAATATTTAGTTTCGGGTTTATGGTTAAAGGTTGTCTTGGCCGTGCACTGGAGTTTCCCGGACTGCTCGCAGTGGGGTTGCACCGTTGCAGCAATATGCTTGGAAACCTGCAGGAACAAAGAGCATGCATATATACATGTAAACAAAACATATCTCTGTATATATATATATAGATATATAAGGTACGTACACAGTGCCTGCATGCTTCCATCCACTTTTCCTATATATAGTATACCTTTTATACAGATATACATATATATATATATATATGTATGAATCTGCAGTCAAAGTAGTGGGTCGCTCGGCAGGGCCAAGAGCTCGCCAGCAGACCCCATGGCTTCCGCCGGGAGCTCCTCGCTCTCCTGCTTGGGAAGGAAATCATATGTATCCCAGCGAGGTCTCAGTCAGGTCTTGCAGGAACTCAAAGAGCTGCCCGAGTTGCCATCTGGGACGAGTCGCCGAACACTGAAGCGGGCCCGGGATGAGAAGACTCGGAGCTACCAAACTGCTTATGGCGAGATCCTATGCGACTTCAAGTGTGTTGCCGAAACTGGTGTGGAGTTTGAATTTCCTGTCTTGAACCCAGCTGCAATGTGCCTGGGCGACAGAGCGATGTCGACCATTTGGCGAGTTCCTGGAGAGGGCCATGGATGCCACACCCCCCAGCATTCTTCAACCATGGGGATTGGTGTGGTATTCCGACGAGCTGGCTCCGGGCAACCAACTCAAGCACTCCAACCGGAGAAAGGTCCAGGCCGTATATTGGAGCCTGCTCCCTTTGGGACAGCATGCAATGGGTTGCGAAAATTGCTGGTTCACTCTCTGTGCCATTCGCAGCTCTCTGGTCGCAGATCTCGGCGGCATGACTGTGCTCTTCAGGCAGCTAGCAGCCTTGTTCTTTGAGAGACCTGACTTCAGAAAAGGTCTTGTGTTGCAGTGCCCTGGACAAGCACGTATGCTCTTTGCCGACTTGAAGATCATCATATCCGACGAAGCTGCAATTAAGGCTACCCTTTTCAATAAAGGAGCCAGTGGGCTCATATTCTGTGTTCAATGCCAAAACGCCGTGGACCACAAAAGCAGCATTGCTGAAAGGAGTCGGGGCAATATGGTGTCCGGCCTGGAAACCGACATGAGTTGCTTTCGGATGCACACACCCGAGTCTATACGAGACACCATGGACTTCTTGCGAA